ATGGTTTTCTTCAAGCAGGAGCTTAAAGTTTCTTAGATTTACCCTGCTTGAGAGACAAGTTCGGTCGTAAATGACCGAAATGTTATGGGCTAGTTCTTTTTCGGTAGGTTTTGAAGTCTCGGCTAGATTTAAGTAATCAAGATGGGAGGTATGAGAGTCAGTATACCATTTCTGAATAGATTCTTCCCAAAGCTTAGACATATACTAGATATGCATGAGCTTAATTCTACTTACTTTCTTAACTTTAGAGGGCTTGCGTCAAAGGTCTTACTGCGGTTCCCTGACCTAATTGCCTTCCTCGGGCTCCTCACAAGTTTAGATTGTAAGAGAAATCAATTTCATGTATATATAGCATTAATATCGTAAGCGAAGTAAGAGACTATATCAAAACAGTAAATTACTAGCTCTGATATCACAAATTTGGAAGCGGGAAAGAAATCCAAGAACTTCGTAAGAAATGATAAGCACAAAGAACTGAAAGAAAGCTTAAAATGCTTACAGAAGTTTGGACACCGAAGGAAAATGTGTTACTCAAGTAGGACTCTGGTGTTTTTTGACCGATGCCCTGCAAGAGCCTGAGCGAGGGTTTATATAGAAAGAAAGGATAGAGCCGGGTGCTCATTGGGCCCCATCGCACTTATATCCGTTCCTTTTTATATTCCTTCGTCCAGCTGTTGCCAGCTTTCGAGCGGCTCCCCGAGGCTCAGCTCGTTCTTACTTAGTTGCTAAGAAAAGTAAGTACATCCAGCTGTTGCCAGCTGGTAGACACTACGAGCGGCTCCCCGAGGCTCAGCTCTTTCTTACTTAGACACTAAGAAAAGTAAATACAGAAAGAAAGACCCATTCCAAGGATCCACCACGGCACGGAAGCAGAAAAATTAGCATGGATCCAATGGAGAATGGCCTACCCAGAAGAGTACCAACTACTGATGGCAAATGCGGATGGGACGGGAGGAACGCAAAACATCCTCTCACAATTAAGGACAATATTCATATTGGAAGACCCATTCCAAGGATCCACCACGGCACAAGAAAAAGCCTACAGTTTCCAGTATTATGAAGCAATACCCCTCCATGCTAAAATACTATATCGACTCTAATAAAATCGTTAGAGGTTGAACTAAATTAAATTAGTTTTTAATTTATTTCGACTAATATAAGATATGTCACTAATTTAAATAGTCCAAAATCGATTAACTTATTTTGATTAATCAATTAATTGATTTATAATATTAAATAATTTAAATATATATGTATTTTTAAATGAGTGTGTTCGATTCTATTGAATCGAATCTTAATCTAATTGGATAGAGACAAACAATAGGACTTGTGAAACAATAGGACATGTAGTTTCAATCATATCGTCTCAATCTCCACTTGAACCTCATGCAAAGTTTTGAGAAGACAGTATTCCTTTCTCTCTTGCATCGCCCTTTCTTTCCACTCTTAGGTGAGGAAATCTTCAAACTAGCTTGCATTACTTTGCTGCTGACCCAGCTGCAAACCACAGCCAGAGCAAGAACATGACAGACACATGCTTATTTGCTGCCGACAGCTTCCTGCATTCTCCTTTCTGCTGCAGTCCAATCTACCCAACATTGCAGCTGTTGGATTTGGGTCACAGAACCTGTCTCAGCTCTACATTTGCCGATAAAACTGCTGCTGTGAATTCATTTTGTTTGTGTGAAGCACACCAAAACTTTCTGTGGACCTGCATGCACGAGATACAGTGCCTTCCAAGAGCAGATGAGAAGATAAGATCGATGTACCAACTTTGGAAGCATTCTGAGCGTTAAACTCGGAGCCAATGACCACTGTCAAATCTACATCTTCATGCGATATGACAGTCTTATATCATATTACCTATCGTAAACGTAGTTCAACAATGATCAGATTTCTTATACAGAAGCATAATTATTTTCCTTTAAATGCGATACGGAGTTCCATCGTTTCTGTCAAACGTTGTGTTTGATGTCTATCTCTTTCCATAGGAATTGAACCGTCTGAGTTGTTCTCATCTTCCTCGGTTCTCGTGGAAGGCTCCATGGAAGTGGAAGGGCAAGACCTCGACCGCCGGAACAAGGATGCCCCTCCCCAGATGAACAAAGGCCTCAGGAGGGCCCTCATCGCCGTCAACTGTGTCCTCATGGCGATCGGCAACGCCGGCGGCCCGCTTCTCCTCCGCCTCTACTTCCACAGCGGTGGCAAGCGTCAGTGGCTCTCGGGATGGCTCGAGACCGGTGGCTGGCCCATCATCTTCCTCCCTCTCCTCGTCTCTTACCTCCACCGCCGCCGCCGACTCCTACGGGGCCATGGTCACCGCCACCAACCCCCCACCAAGCTTTTCCTCATCACGCGGCCACTCTTCCTGTACTGCGCTGCTCTCGGCCTCCTCCTCGGCCTGGACGACTTCCTCTACGCGTACGGGCTCTCCTTCCTTCCCGTCTCCACCTCCGCCCTCCTCATATCGGCGCAGCTGGTCTTCACCGCCTTCTTCGCCTTCGTTTTGGTGAAGCAGAAGTTCACGCCGTACTCGATCAACTCGGTGGTGCTGCTGACGGTCGGGGCGGTGATGCTGGGCCTCCACGTGAGCTCCGACCGCCCGAACAACGTGACCAGGGGGGAGTACTACATGGGGTTCGTTCTGACGCTGGGGGCGGCTGCCGTGTACGGGCTATTCCTCCCGCTGGTGGAGCTGACGTACACCAAGGCGAAGCAGGCGATAACCTACACGCTGGTGATGGAGATGCAGATGGTGATGGGGTTCTTCGCGACGGCTTTCTGCACTGTAGGGATGCTAGTGAACAAGGACTTCCAGGTGATGAGGCTCTTCCCCCGTGATGTGTTCGATGAATCGAGCTGCAAGTAGCTCCTTCTGGGCTAATCTTGTGGACACACGTTGGACTTGCAGGCCATTCCAAGGGAGGCAAAGCATTACGAGCAAGGGGAGTTCAGATACTACGTCGTACTAGTTTGGTGCGCCATCTTGTGGCAGTTCCTCTTCTTGGGCACCGTCGGCGTCATCTTCTGCGTCAACACGCTGCTCGCCGGCGTCCTCATCGCGGTGTTCATCCCGGTGACCGAGGTATTCGCCGTCATCTTCTTCAAAGAGAAGTTCGGCAGCGAGAAGGGCGTCGCTCTCGCTCTCTCACTCTGGGGTTTGGCCTCCTACTCCTACGGAGAGTACAGGGAAGGAAAGCGTAGCCAAAACACGGCTGCCGATCTCAGCAGCCAGCCTGTTTGAGTTATTGGTAGTCGGTAAGGCAAGCAAAATAAGCGTTTGGAAGGTAGTGAGTAACTTAGCTATTAAGATCATAAAATATTGTAAGATCATCATTTATTTTATATATATATATATATATATATATATATATATTATAGTCGCTTAATTATTCTATGGCAGACTCTCTCATACTCTCTCTATCGAGAAAGCAGCAGATGGCTCTATCTTGAGCCAAAGCTTCATCACAAGTAGGGTCAAAGAAATGGAAGGTGTGGCCTTTTCCATCGGTCTCGTACAGCTCCACTTCTCCGCACCTCTTCTCCCTCAGCCTGTGGTAGTAAGCCCTTCCCCTGTCCCTCAGAACGTCCTCCACCCCCACGCACACCAACACCCGCTTGCGGTCCATGCCGGCCAAGCTCGGCGCACCATCCGCCAGCGGGTTGATCATCGGATCGTCGACGCCCGCTGCGGCCGTCGGGCATGCCAACTCCCAGAACCTCTCCAATCTGGCAGTCATCTCCGGGTTTAACGCCGCTGACTCCACCGGCTCCGACCCCAAGAAGTACGGATGGATGAGCACCACCCCATGGACTCCGACGCCACGTTCGAGCCCCTCAGCTCCCGCTCGCATGGCCATGTGGTGGGCTATGTTGGCCCCCGCGCTGTCGCCGGCGAGAAAGAGGCGGTCGAAGTCAGCGTGGTCGGCCAGCCACCGGTCCGGCCCCGGGCCCCCGTTTGCGTGGGAGGCCACCCACCGGAGCGCCTTCCACGAGTCATCGTAGGCGGCCGGGATCGGGTGCTCCGGCGCCAGCCGGTAGTTGACCGAGACGGCGACGACGTGAGCCCGAGCTACAAGGGAGTTGAGATAGTTGTGGAACATGGGCATGAAGGGGTTACCGATGCAGAAAGCGCCGCCATGGTAGTAGACAAGGACGGGGATTCTTCTCTGCGCGTCGGTGCCGAGACCCGGGACGTAGAGGCGTGCCGAGACTCCGGTGTCGGCTGCGATCACCACGTCCTTCGACGAGACTCCGGTGGCAGGGTCGACTGAGGCCGGGACGGTCTCGTTATCCTGGTACCGCTCGACGCGGCCACTCTTGTATATGCGGATGAGTGGTAGCAATTCGAACATGATCTCGTCCTCAGTATCCATCGGTGACGGAGAAGCTGAGCTGAGGAAGAGACGATAGAGTGTCGCATATGTAAGAATCCATCGTCAGATAACCTGCGATCCCCGCCGTTGAAAGTTCAACGCCATCAACGATATGTTGAATCGTTCCAAGAGAAGTTAAGAGAACAATCAAAAGAAGCCGGTAAGAAGGTATTGATTGGTTAGCCAATAATTTAGTGAAGGGGCGCACCATTTTTTCCGGCAACAAAGAAGCTGTTTGGTGGAAAATGAAACCAACGCTCGTCATCCATTTTAGTGGGACGTCTTTTTCTATGACTAATTACATATTGGACTTGTAGTTAGTTGCCTTCTCGATCCCTATATTATAAAATTTTTATTGATATTTTTATATTTATTAAAGTGAAATATCTATCTTTATTTATCTTAATGACATAAATTTTATCGACGAAAATATGAAAATAAAAATTAAAAATATAATTTTAACGTTTGGTGATGGTCGACGTTGGTGGTGGCAGACAACGACATCGCTAACGTCGATGCCAATGTAGTTGTCTAGCCACCACTGATAACGATAAGGTCTATTCTTACCACGACGCCACCCGTCTTTACGAGGAGCGTGCCATTGATCTCATCGTTGCTCATCTCACACCACTCTACACCGACACTAACGCAATTGCCGCTCGACGCTGATGGTGATTGTCATCACGGTATCTACAATGAAGATGATGGTCGCCATACCGCTGACTCATCGAACTGATCCCAGTATCGATCTCTCTCCCTTTGCAAATGTATTAACATCGACACAGATACTTACTAGTTATTGCCCTCTAATCCATGCTCCCTCAATAAGCTTTGTATTATATTCTATCATCTCCTCCATGAGTGGTCTCTGTTGTTGGACGAGGCCACCTTCGCCCGCAACTCCCGCATCGATGACTATAGATACATACATACATACAAATATATATATATATGATAAATCAAAACAAAATATTTTCGTAAAATAAATAAAGCAACCTTATTTATTGATGTAAGCAAAAAAAAAAAAAGTGTTGAATCAGACAAAATATTCTGTATGATGGGGATTTTGTTAGATCATCATAAAATCCTCATATCAAACCATTTATCCTTAGAAATGTACAGAGATCATCTCAGCTAAATGAAAGCAACTGTTGACCGGCAGATATGACTGACCACACAACGAAGTCTTCATTGCTTGGTTTTAGAAGGATCAGACACAAAGATCTCATTTCATGGCCACCATATGGACTTCTTGAAGGAATCTCCCCAAGAGATGGCCATCATCCATCATTTGATGTGCTCAGGAGTTGAGGAAGGCGGCCACCGCCTGCAGCTTGGCCAACGCCTTGTCGCTCTTGGGGTCAATGAGATGGAAGACATGGTTCTCTCCCACCGTCTCCAGCAGCTCGGCCTCCCCCTCCCACCCGCTCCGCTTCAGTGCCTCCTGGTACTCACGCCCTTTCTTCCGCAGCATGTCCTTCTCCGCCACCGTCACCAGCACGCGCCGGCACGGCAGGGCCGCCAAGCTCGGCGCCCCCTCCGTCAGCGGGTCGATCCACGGGTCGTCCAGCCCGGTTGTCCCCGGGCGCACGAACGCCCACAAGCGCTCCACCCACTCCCTCGCCTTGGGATCCCAGCTCTCCGACTCCAGCGGCTCCGCCCCACAGAAGAACGGGTGGACCAGCAGTAGCCCTCTGATCTCGGTGTCTCCGCCGCCCAGGCCATCTTCCGCCGCTCGCAGGGCCATCTGGTGCACAATGTTGGCGCCCGCGCTGTCCCCGGCCAAGAACACGCGCCCAAGATCCCCACGCTCCGAAAGCCACGTCTCCTCCGTCGGCCGCGACGCCACCCACCGGAGCGCCGCCCACGAATCGTCGTACGCGGCCGGGAGGGGGTGTTCCGGCGCGCGCCGGTAGTCAACCGACACGGCCACCACGCCGGCCGCGGCCACGAGAGAGTTGAGGTAGTTGTGGTACGTCGGGGAGAAGGCGGTCTCGATGACGAAGCCGCCGCCGTGGTAGTAGACGAGGACGGGGATCTTCTTGTCGGGGGGGCTGCCGGACAGGTCAGGCAGGTAGAGCCGCGCCGTCAGGTTGGTAGCGGGGTCGACCAGGACGTCTTTGGAGGCGACGCCAGTGGCAGGGTCGAGTCCGGCGGGGAGAACCTCGGTGCCGACAAGACGCTCGATCCGGCCGCTCTTGTAGACGCGAATGAAGGGTGGCGCGTCGATGACGACTTCGTCGTCGGCGTCGGCGTCGGCGTCCATGGCTCGATGCTGTCTCTTGGAAGATGGGATGGTGGTCGAGACTGGTTGGTATGGTGACGATGACATCCACCCCCACCCCGTACCTTTAATAATAGCGCAATGAGTCTGACGCTGGCCCACTTTTTATGTGGCTATTACTGTGAGTGCAAGTTGGGTAAATGACGTATGAAGGTTATGGGAAGGTTCCATCAAAACCGTCCTTCCCATTTCATCTTTTAATCTCAGCCGTTTATCTAAATAATTGTTTGATATTTACACACATGGGTTTAGAATTGATAAAATATCAATGGACATTAATTGAGGAGTAGAGTAATTAGGAATCTATAAGGATAAAATCATTGAATTTATATTTTAAGATTCACTTTCATAAATTATGTTGTATGTGAATCGACTATGAGATATGATGATGAAGAAATATTAATAATCCAAAACTGATAACAAAAATTAATTGTTCTTATTGCCATTAGAAAACTATGATAGAAACTCCAACCTAAATAAGTTGAAACCTTTTTATTGTGTGTTTGTTGTATTTTTGTATATACAAAGGAAGAGTGGTTGCAAACCCTCACATTCAAAGGTGGAAAGCAATGGGGGGGTTGTCTAGATGATGGCTAGTGATGGCCTTAATGTGGTTAGTGTTCCTTGAAATTATAGCTAGCCAGCTCATGAGGCATGGCCACCTTGTCTATGCCTATATTGAAGCTTGAAGTAGTAGGTAAGGCATGATATAATGGGTGTGTTTAGTGGTTGGTTTTTTTTTGTGTTTTTAGAACTTTCTAGATCTATCCATTCTTCAAACATTACAAAACATGCACAAACATATATTGGTTTCACCAAATGGCGATTCAATTTGGTTTATACTAGGGAGTTTTTTTTTTTTAATCCTGATAACATCCTTAGATCGGGTTGTTTGAAGTTCGATCAATCCGTAGATTGATTTGGTTAAGTCAAGTCGATTCAAGTTGGATCCTTTTGGATCGAATGTTAGAGTTCTTATATTCATGTTACAATCAAGTTATTCTCATTCACAAAATCTAATAAAAATATATTAATTTTTATATAAACATATTCTAAATTTATTATAAAATTTAAAAATTAGTATAATTTTTGTTACAATCATATTCTAATAGAATTCTCAATTTTTTTATGATTAATTATATTTAAAATAAAATTTTTAATCTTAAAATAGGTTAGATAATCAAGTTTAACTTATTTCAATTTCGAGTGTAACTATAATAATATAGGAAATAGAAAATGTAAGATTTTATCATTTATTTTATGATAAATTAAAAAAAAATTATACAAAAATTAATATATTTTTCGTATGTTATGTAAAAGAGTTACTCGAATGTAATGATTTTGTGAATAATTTTATATAAATGACTTAAGTTTTTTAGTTTGATGATGAATCTAAGATAATTTTATATAGAAACTAATATATATATATATATATATAATATTTTATGAATAAGTTTAACTCAAGTTTAATTTTTTTTTAAGATAAACTATAAGGAGGATGAGGACAGTAGGGAAGGAGTGGAGGAGGAGAAGTAAAAAAAGAAAAAGAAAAAGGAAGGGGTGAGGGAGGTGGATGAGAAAGAGAGAGAGAGATTGAGAGTGGGGGGTGGAGGATGAGAAAACTAAGAGGGAGGAATAGGTGGTGGAGATGGAGTAAGAAGAGAAAACTAAGGTAGAGGAGGTGGGGATAATTTAAAAGAAATCAAGAAGTAATCTAAGACTTAATTAAATCAAATTAAATAGTTAAGATTTAATTGAATCAATTTAGTCTGATTCATTTTAAAAGATCAATTTAGTTTTAAAAAATTAAATCAAACTTAATCAAAGGATAATTATAATCATTTTATGAATTAAATGAGAGTATTTTAATCAAATTAAAAAAAAAATGCCCAATACTAGAGGCTTTTTTTTCTATAAATTGTCCAAACATGTTTATAAGGGATGAATTAGTAATCTTTCAACCATTGGCATATTTTGATTGATTGCCTAAAGCAAATTGAAATCCAATATTTGCAAATTCTATGTTAGAAGTTGGGAGAATTCGGCTAGGGATCCTCAAGAAATTAGGTCGAGTGAATACCTAACAAGACCTACTTTGATGTTTAATTTAGAAAGTAGATTAATGTAGGAGAATTAAAAATATTCAAGAGAGTTAAAATAGTATATTTATGATTATTTTATAGGAAACTTAGTAATCGTTGGAGTTAAATAAAGAATTAACATGTAGAATAAACTTAGTAATCGGTGATAGTTCACGGACACGACGACTTCGCCGGCCAAAGCCACGAGGGAGTTGAGGTACATGGGGGAGATGGCGATGTCGACAATGAAAACACCGCCGTGGTAGTAGACGAGAACATGGAGCATCCTCTCCGGGGGCCGCGGGCGAGGTCGGGGAGGTAGAGGCGCCCTCAAGTTGGTGGCGGGGTCGAGGAGGACGCTCTCGGAGGCTCGGCATCCATAGCGCGAAGCTTAGGCTCGCCAAAATTAGTCGCTATTTGTCATGAGGGTTAATTATAAATTACCCACGTAGTTAACTGTCTTAAGGTTCTTATAATTTAAAAAGTTAAAAACGAAATATTTTGATTTATTTATCCTAATGTCATTGATTTTTTTAATAAAAATATATTAAAAATAAAAATAAAATGATAATTTTAACGTTTTAATTAGTAGTGACGAACGTTGTCGATGGTGACGAAAGACGACATTGTTAGTGGTTGTGGATGACTGTTGTGGATGAGAAGAGTGACGACGAAAGGTGAGAGTCACTTTACATCTGCATCGACGTAGTTGCCTAACAACATTGCTCGGCATATGCATCGATGACTCTTTCGCCACTCGACATCTGTGTCGGCACTGATGTATTTGCCAAGCAGCCCTCACTTCTCGTCATCGCTCTCATCATCCATAACAATCACCCGCGACCCCTAGCAGCACTGTCACCCATCACCACTAGCGCTATCCGTCATTACAAATTGGAATGTTAAGAATATTTTTTTATCCTTTATTTTCATATTTTCGTTGGTAAAATCAATAATGTTATGATAAATGGAATTAGATATTTTATTTTCGTAACTATACAAATATTAATATAATTTTTAAAAATGTAAAAATTAAAAATTTTATAATTAGCCTTGAATGAGGCTAATCTAAGTCATTTTTTATAGTGTATTCGAGAGACACCTATGGTTTAAGATCCTTGATTTATTAAAGTGTATTCGAGAGACACCTATGATTTAAGATCCTTAATCCCTATAATTATAAAAGTAAAATATCTTGATTTATTTATCTTAATGTCATCGATTTTAACAACGAAAACTCGAAGACAAAAGATAAGAAGATAATTTTAACGTTTTAGTTAGTGCTAACGAACATCGCCGATGGTGACAAACGATGATACCGTTGGGGGCCACGAATGACTGTTATGGATGAAAAGAGCGACGACGAGAGATGAGGGTCACTCTGTATCTGCATCGACATAGTTACCGAGCGACATCGCTCGACATCTGCATCGATGACCCTTTTGATATATTTCTCGAGCAACTCTCATCTCTTGTCATCACTCTTTTCATCTATAACAATCACCCGCAACCCCTAGCGGTGCTATCGCCCATCACCGACTAGAATGTTAAGAATATTTTTTTTTTCCCTTATTTTCATATTTCCATCGGTAAAATCAGAATAAATTGAGTTAGATATTTTACTTTCGTAATTATAAAAATATTAATATAATTTTTTATAACGTAAGAATAGAAAATTTTGTAATTAGCCCTGATTTTAAATTCACACATCAAATGGGGCTAATTGAGTCATCTTTCAAGTATTCTAGAGGCACCTGTGCTTTAGGACACCACAAGTGCAGCACCAATAATGGGGAGATACCGAGTACTAAATTAGAGATTATAAGGACAACTCCTAAAGTACTTTAAGCCGCAAAGAAAGCATGGGAAGTATCAATCGATGTTATGATTTATCTTAATCGATAATACATAACTCAATTATAAGAATTTATCAGTTAGATTGTGTTGGATCATACTAATATGATTCAGATGAAGTCAGTGAAATTAATTGGAAAAAGCACCACCAAAGAATGATCCGACAAACCATAAGAACCAATTTACGTACCTTTCCGCAAAGCGAAGCAATAAACAGCTCAGGTCGGTTTCCGCGAGTATTCCTCCTAATGATGAGATTCCCTGACAACTCAAAAACTTTGCTATTAAATGATTAAAGAATTGAGGGTTTCAAAGTTTCATTTTAGAAAGATAAATTAGCAACTCCATAAAATCTCCCATAATCTCTCTCTTGGTAGATACTTTAATCAATCAAGTGGAACTCAAGTGAGATTAAAAATAAGAAAGAGTAGCAGAGGCAGAATCAGAATCAAAACCAAAAGTTGAACACAGGTTGCATCAGGTCACACTGAACTCAGAGCAGAATGATGAAACAAATCACTGCAAAGACAAAAGTAAGAAGTTAGAACTCGCCATGAACTCGAGAGCACTGAAGCAAAGAGCAATAAGACAGGAAATAGGATCTTTTTCATGTCCAACAACGGGCAGAGTGAAACCAATGCAAAGACATAGCATTTGAAGATCTTTCTTGTATTATCTCAAGCATTCAAGTCACTGATATCAATGAAATCAATCTCTAATGTAATAAAATGTGAGTCCCAATACAATGACCACTGTACTTCAAGTTTGGAACGTATCCTCAATTGGACTTAAAAGAGTCATTTTCTCATGCTCATATGTCAACTCTTGCATTGAAATGACAATGAAATGCTTGTCTACATATTGTTTGATCCAAGAATTTAAAGGAAGCATGAGTCTCATTTATATATCTTGAACAATAGAAAAAAGAAAGAAATGTTTCGTATTTGTGTTGCCTAAACCACAAACCCAGCAAGAACTTGTCCAGCTTATTCAACCATAACAATATTCACAAGTTATATCTTGCTTGAATTCATATGTAGACCAAACAAGGGCTCAATTCAAATACGAATAGATGCTACACAAATGCGAGAAACATTTTATCATGTTAAGCCTTAACATTCAAACTTAACCACTACAGAGCTTTGTTCTTTCATCAACCAAATGAATTTAGTTTGGTACATGGATCAAATGAACCACAGTTGGATTCAGTAACATCAATGATAAATCCAACTGACAATTCAGATCGAGCAGTTGGAATGATTCCAAGCGATTGCAATATATCCTCACTAGTTTTTGAAGATTTCCAACCTCTATCTTACTATTTCAAAAAGAAGGAAGAATAACACTATCAATACCCCTTCATGCATTTTGATCAGTCAAACCACCTAGGAAGACTCCAAATTCTAGTTGGAAGAGAAAAGAGAAACAAATCAAGCTCAAATTAAAAGGAAAAAGATGACAATCACCTTTAAGTAATTATCAGCAATTCCATGAAGGTGCAGATATCCACTAACATGAAAATGTCTATAGTCCAGAAAACTGATCTTGAACTAGGCATTGTAGTTCTGGACAAGTGTGGATAACAAAAAGACAGTAATGGTTTAGAACAAAACATGATAACAAGTAAATACAGCTGATGGAGATCAAAGCCACTAATGGACAAGATAGGCAATGTAAATGCAAGAACCAAATGAAACGGTGACAAAGAACCTCAAAAGATATCCATCGATCGGATAGATCAGCCATCATGTTGCAGGCATCTGATCTCATGAATCACCAAAAGTCCTGCATATAGTTTTTTTTTCATATGCGTCAGTATTGAGATTCCATAGACAACAGGTATGCTTGTGTTTATGGAGATATTAGATCTTCCATAAACAAGCATGCAGAAAATATTCCACCCCAGGTGCCCATCACATTCAACTCAATCAGCACAAGAGTCCATCTGAGCATCCAACTCTATTGTTCATTTTGCTTGCAGGTAATCTCTCCAAGATATTTATCCATATAATAGATTCATGCATCACAATCATCATCATAAAACTTGAAGCAAAAAAGAGCTACTATGTGAGACAACTATACACAACTCATTTACAACCTCATACACCACATTCTTACTATACTCCACATCCAGCAGAGATAAACATGCTTAACATCACATTAAGACTTCCAACCCAACCTTACAATAATTTCCTATACCAAGCACAAAAAAATGTCCCAGTAAGAGAGAGGGGGGGGTGTGGGGGGAGAAATAGCATTTGAAAGAAAATACTGAAAATTCAAGCTCCTAGAGAGAAAACAACAATAAACACCAAATCAGTTTCAGCCAAATCATTTTCAATAACATGGTCATCTTTAACATCACAGCACACTTAACATCATGGCACAACGTATATGTAGATGGCACGCACCACATCCACAAATTAGCAGTTCATCTCAAGATTTCTGGCAACAGTGAAGACAAGAAGAAACAGCAGTAAGTTCAAAATTCAGCATTAACAGTTAACCCCTTTCCTCCCACAGGGCACTTCTCTCCAGTCTGCTCCCAGTCAGACCACATCAAACACAATTGGCGACTAACCTTAGGAAGCCAATCCAACCCTTAACAGCACCACAGGCAGCACCAACGGGATATGCAATTAATATGTTTATATGCATCACTAGTACAATTGAAACATCATTAAGACACATGCTTGTCCTAATAGATAGAGAAGTTCTTTGATCATAAAGCAAATAATACACCAAAGTCATTCTTATGATAGAATGCACAATCACAAAGTCAACATTCAATCTCGTTATTCCATGTCTCCTGTACTGGACTAACACAGTCAATGAGATGACTAATCCTACCTTCTATAGGATATTTGATTTTTACAGTGAAAGAACCTGAGCATCTTTTTCAGAGTGATTCCACTTGACTATATCAAATGCAGATATGCCACTATATTTTCCCAGGGAACAGGTTCATGCATTTCCACTATATTTTCTAGTGAACAGATTCACTCATCACAACAATCATTATAGCAAAACAGCAAGAGATATCAATCATGAAGAAGAAATAATACACTACTTAAAGAACAACCTAAAGTACACTTTTAGTGCATTCCATCACCACATATTAGCATCACAAGCAGACATACAACTCAAATTAAGAGTGATCTCCTACCTCAAACAGAAACACTGTTACAGTAACAGTAAAAAATAAAAGAACTCCCAGAAGAAAAACAACAGTAGAAAACTGAAAGAAGCACCACAATCAATATCAGTCAGTCATTTTCAGTAACACAGTCAACTAAGACGTCTGAGCATAATGTACATGCAGATTCCAAGCATCACCACCCGGACAGGGACCGTCTCTAAATTACTCACAACATTTAAGACAAGAAACAACAAAGAAGAACAGCGTTTAAGTATAGGAATCAGCATTAGCAGTTGACTTCGCCAATAAACTCCAATTTATACCACATCAGTCACTAAGGCAGGCTTCACCTTGGGAGGCCGACCGCGGCCTCTCTTAACCCCGCTACCAGCAGCGGCGGCAGCAGGAGCCGCCGTTCCAGAAGCAGCGGACCGGGCGGCCTTGGGCGGACGCCCGCGGCGCCGCGGGAGCCCGGCCGTGGCCTTCGCGACGGCAGCTGCGAGGGGGTCCTTCGGCTTGGGGGGCCGCCCGCGGGGGCGATGCTGAGGGAGGACGGCACCGGTCGGGAGCTCCGGCTTGGGCTTGGGCGGTCGGCCGCGGCCCCGCTTCGGGGGCACGTCGGCACCGGGCCGAAAGTAGTTGTTCTTGATGAACAGCAGCTCGCCGCTCTCCCGCATGCGGGCCAGGTGCGCGGTGAGCAGCGACGAGTGGGACGGCGGCAGCTCCCCGTACTTGGTCTCGATGTACTTCGAGATGGCCGACTTGTTCGACCCGTTCTTCTCGTTGAGCGCTTCGATCGCCTCCATTATCATCTGCAGAGCACGCACCAACCCACACATCAATCAAAGATTCACGACAAAGAAACCATCATGAAAAGCGACCCGAAAACCAAATTCCTATCGATACCTCAGGATATGTCTTGCTAGCTTCCTCATCGGTAGCCATGGAGGGTGCCGTTTGGGGGTCGGTTGGTCCGATCGAGAGGGGTTTTAATGACGGATAAAGAGAAGGGAAAGAACATAAAAGATTAAAAAAATAGAAAGAAATGGAAAGAAATAAAGGGACGACGATGATGATGATGACGATGATGATGATGAAAAGGAGGAGGAGGAGGAGAAGGTGCACTCCCGTGAGGAAGTATGGACGGCACAGATGTGAGGAGACGATTGGGATCGAAGCATGCTGAGTGGTGGAAGTACGCGTCACGCGGATCCGTGACATGGCAGAGTGCGACGTCAGCTTCGTTGGGTTGCTTTCGTACTTTCACCGTTCTCAAAGCAGAGAAGGTATCGAGCCGGTCGGGTTTCGGTTCCACCGCCACCTACCTCAGACCCGGTGCGGTCCGACGTTCACATGTACGAAATTGAACCCGGTCCATTTTCTTGCAATTTTAACTAAATTGGAAAGAAAGGAAATCAAGACAGAAGAGCATCATGAAAAGTAGATAATGACAATAGTAATACAAACAATAGTACCTAATTGGATATACCACAGATTTCAATTAGAACATCACCAGAAAATTGAAATCGATAGTTTCCTAATAAATTTATTGAAAGTTAAATATCACTTTGCGCTATAAATACTTGCTTCCAAATCGAGAGTGTTATAGGTCAGAGTGGATATACGTCATGACGACGATGATGATGATCAAATCACTTTAAATTATGTTATTCGATCGAACTACGAATGATACTATGAGAAACAAACATTTCAAATTTTGCATGGAATCCTATCAAGATTTGCTTGTCATGTGCATCTCTCGTAATATGAATGCAAGTTTAGATTTTGATACTGTTAGTGTAAACAACCTTAAGCCGTGGCCTCGAGGCCGATGTGGTTGGATTTGGGTCCGAATGATTGGGGATCTTCATGGGACGACCCTTGAGATTGTTGAGATGGCCGATTGCGGTGGTCCGATCACGACGGGATGACCGTTTCCTCTGGGAGGGAACTCCTCGTTTGGACACGCGATGGGAGGTGCACCGTCTTCGTCCCTGCACACAGGTCGGGTTGGGAGGCTCGACCCAACCCCTCTGATGATCAAGTCAGTGGATAATTTTGGGGGGTTTTTGTCATCTCATCATCTTCCTCTCCCGTTTAGAACGCGAGGGTATTTATAGAGAAGCTTACTGTTTTCTAATGTGCCCGCTTGCAGGGGGCAGGCTCGTACTCCTGGTAGCATCTGACACTGGTGTTGGCGTGGCGCGAAGGACCGGGCTTGTGCAGGACGTGGCGCGCCCCGATCGTCGTCCTGGTCTGCCTTGGTCAGGCATGTCAAATCGAACCGAGGCGTGGATCTTAGAAGAGCGCACGTCCCACCATTATTACCCTCATCAAATCCATTTCGCTTGATCGTATATTTCGTTTAACTTAGATATCGGACCATTCATCGGAATAATGGTCCAATTCATCTAAAATTGTCTTATCCTACTCATAGAATGTAGCTTTATGACGCATGCAGGATTCCTATGGCATAAAATGACAGCTAAATCTATACATGTTAGATGTGTCTGTGATCTGACACTCTGATACAAGGTTTTCCATGTAAACCAAAAGGCAAAGATGGTCCCAACAGCACTGAAGAGTGTCTTACCTGATTCAGCCTAAGTGACTTGGCCAGCACTATCGTTTGCTCTTACCATAGTGCACAGCTCAAGGTAAAGGCCTTCAATCATACATGTAAAGTCATACTCAGTCAATTGTCCCCTTCTTTTTGTCACTTGCCTCAGTAGTACATACGAGGATTTCTCTCCTCACAAACTTTATCATTTGATATGAGAGTTTTCCTATTTACTTGCAGTAATTGTGGTTCTCTTCTATTCCATGTGTGGTTTGTACGTACATTTTGCAATGTGGTGTCCTGACCACCACCAGAACACAAAATCAAGGAGAAGTGGTAGTAGTGGAAGTAGAGAGAGGTGAAGTTCTATAAGTAACTGGCACTTGCCATCATTTAGAAGAAGCATTGGTGAGGGAGGAGATGGAGGTGAGAGGGCAAGAGAGAAGCCGAAGCCTCAATGATGAGAGAAGAAAAGGAGGGCTTAAGACGTTGCCTTTCATCTTTGGTAATACCTCTTTTCTTCTTCATGCTTTATACTCGTTGTTTCCTAGTTGATGATCTCTAGATGAGGCTCTGGAACATGCAGCTAACGAGGTCTCTGAGAAGCTGGCGGTGGTCGGGTTCTCGGCAAACATGATAAGTTACTTAACTCAGCAGCTTCATATGCCACTCACCAAAGCAGCCAATACCTTGACAAACTTCAGCGGCACCGCAAGCTTGACGCCGCTGCTCGGAGCCTTCCTCGCCGACGCCTTCGTCGGCCGGTTTTGGACCATCGCCGTCGCCTCCATCGTCTACCAGATCGTAAATCTTCAGTGATCATTTCTTTGTTAAGATCGTTTCATGTGAGACACTTGATGTACTTCCTGTGATCTACTGACAGGGAATGATAACCTTAACGATCTCGGCGGCCCTTCCGCTATTTAGACCCCCACAATGTACTGGCGATCACAACTGTGAGGAGGCGTCGGCGTGGCAGCTCGCGGTGCTGTACGTGGCGCTGCTGCTGAACGCGATCGGCGCTGGAGGAATCCGGCCATGCGTGGTGGCCTTCGGCGCGGACCAGTTCGACGAGTCGGACCCGAAGGAGAAGACGAAGACGTGGAGCTTCTTCAACTGGTACTACTTCTGCATGGGGGCGTCGATACTGCTCGCTGTCACGGTTGTCGTCTACATCCAAGACAACGTCGGGTGGGGATGGGGACTGGGCGTGCCGACGATTGCAATGGGAATATCAGTCGTGTCCTTCGCCGCGGGCTACCCGATGTACCGAAGGTTGGAGCCTTCAGGGAGCCCGTTCACTCGGCTGGCGCAGGTTGCGGTGGCCGCAGTGAGGAAGAGAAAGGTGGCCATGGTCGCTGATCCAAGCTGCCTGTATGAGAACGACGACATGGATGCGCCCATTTCTCTCTGTGGGAAGCTAGTGCACACCAAACAATTAAGGTTAGCCATCTCTCTCACAGAGTTCTTATCTTGTCTCTCTCTACAATTTGATTCCCATGACAAGGCATTGCACTGGTCAATTCTCTCTCTCTCTCTCTCTCTCTCTCTGTTGGTAACATGTCATTGTTTTATGCTCACTATTGTTACAATCGCCATTAAATACCAAGTGGTTTATTGGTCAAAGTCATCAGCCGAAGGTGACAGAAAGTCTCATTGCCCGGTTTTACGGGATAAGAGATCGATCAAGATATTTAATCATAATTATTTCGATATTGCATTACCAAATTAGTCTTTAGAGATGAACACTAACATCCACCAATCAAAGCCATCGACTATACCCCAGTGAGATCACGAGGACAGGGAAAAGGATGGGTGGCTTGTGCAAGTAGACGTGCTCCACTGACGCTACTGCTCTGCCGTTGCTCGCTCATTCATGAGACATGAACGTCCGTATCCATCCACTCGACTGTGAGCGAGTACTTCCTGCCATTCTGATGGCGCAATCTTGGCTCCTAGCGAACAGAGTGAGTGTCGACGCTTCATGGCCTCCGCCCTGCCTGCGGAAGACCAGGTGGACCTGCACACCAGAATTATTGATCATGCCGGTCGACAACTGTATGACATCGGTTCTGTGAGAGAGAATTTGATTCAGACAGTTTGGTGAATACCCATCTTGCAGTTCATCACTGATGGGATTCATGAAACTAATCAACTAAAGATTTCTATTAAAAGTTTGTAGCGCAGGAGGAGGACGATGAGCATGCGAAGACGACCAAACACGTAAAGGAGTCCAGTCAAAGTCAAAGTACGTGAAGCAGTAAAACGTTGAACGGGAATTGTTTACGTGACGTTACTTCGTGTTACAGTTTCCTGGACAAGGCGGCGATCGTCACCGCAGACGACCAAGCCACGGAGAACTCCGGCAGCCGGCCCAACCCGTGGCGTCTGAGCACGGTGCACCGCGTCGAGGAACTGAAGTCGGTGATCAGGATGGCCCCCATTTGGGCCGCCGGTATCCTCGTCATCACGGCGTTCGCCCAGCAGAACACCTTCTCCATCCAACAGGCACGCACCATGGAGCGCCGCCTCTCTCCGCGCTCGGCTTTCAGTATCCCCCCCGGCTCCATGACAGTCTTCACCATGCTCGCCATGCTTCTCACCCTCTCCCTCTACGACCGCGCCATCGTCCCCCTCGCCCGTCGCTTCACCGGCCTCCACCGTGGCATCTCGTTCCTCCACCGCATGGGAGTCGGGTTCGCTTTCTCCGCCGTGGCCACCCTCGTCGCCGGCTTCGTCGAGGTGCGACGCAAACGCGCGGCGGCGTCCCACGGTCTGCTCGACGACTCTGCCGCCACGATCCCCATCTCCGCCTTCTGGCTCGTGCCGCAGTACGCACTGAATGGGATCGCCGAAGCATTCACGTCCGTTGGCCACCTCGAGTTCTTCTACGACCAGGCACCGGAGAGCATGCGCAGTACGGCGACGGCACTGTTTTGGATGTCGATCTCGGCGGGCAGCTACTTCAGCACGCTGCTGGTGTCCATGGTGCATCGGTACAGCGCTGGGGAAGATGGATCCAATTGGCTTCCTGATAACCTTAACAGGGGAAGGTTAGAATACTTGTATTGGATCATCACGTTCCTTCAAGTACTGAATCTGCTATACTATATGATCTGTGCGAAGTACTATACGTTCAAACCAGTACAGTCCCGTCAGAGAACAGATGAAGGGGCTGTGGAGCTCAATAATAAGGTATAAGATGCTTTCTACAAATGTATATTTGAGCTTTAGCAAGGTGGGAAGAACTGTATATGTAATCACGTAATGCAGGTGTCCTTCACTGACAAATTATTACTTCCACTGCACTGCAAGAACAACATCCATCCAGCAGAACAGTCTTAACAAGGCTAGATTGTAATACCAATGGGTGGGATGTGATTCGTATGGGTCTTTTCATGTATGAAGGCTGTGATCACCTCTCCCATAGTTTCGATATTCCATCCTCCTATTATGTGCGACTTCACTCCATTCGAACTCACAGACCGGGATCAGAACATTTGAAGTGCTAATCGAGTGAGTTGAGGCATTCCATTTGAGGTGAAGAAAATTGGGTTTAGTCTTCATAGTTTTTGGTTCTAAGTTAACTAAGATGACGAAGAACAAGCTAAGAAAGGGTGAGATAGAAGGAAAAGAAAATCCAAAAAGGAAGAGGAAGAAAGAAAGAAGATAATGAGATTAGCAAAGGAATACGTGACGAGCGGAATCGTGGAAAGAATGGAATGAACCCAAGAAGAAAAAAAGTAGAGAAATCTTAGAATATAATAGAGACGGAAAAACTCAAATAGACCGAACAAATCGGTTCGGTGTTATACCGAACCGGTTGTGGTTAAATAAAAATAAAATTAAAGAAATATAAGAATACTGCGAATGAATATTATTATTAGTTTTGTTGGCTCTATCAAAACCATAGACACAACACAGAATATTCCTACGACCTAAAGTAATAGATTGAAAAGATCATCTAGAGATGACACTTGCACTACTATCTTAATATAGTTCGGGAAATATCTTAAAGACCGGGGACCATCGAGAAATAGGTTGATGTGATTGTTGATGGATCGATGTCACGAGGAACCAACACTTTTGCTCGCAAAACCTATGCAAAAGAGTGTCAAGCCAAAAGATTCCATCCCTCGAGTGATCCTCCTATCATGTTCAAAGGGAAAGAAGTAGAACGCTTGAATCTCAAACATGAAGACATACTTATCATTTCCCTTAAGATCATCAACTCTTTGGTGCAAAAGATCCTAATTGATGCAATGAGTTCAACCGACATCCAAAACTATGTCACCTTGTATAAGATCGACATGACCATGAAAGATTTATAATCGATTTTCTCCTTTTATCGACTTCACCAAGGATTCCATTACTCCCTTGGGGACCACCAACCTGTATATCGCATTTGGGTTCAGTAATTATTTAAAGACGATGAAGATTAAATTCTTAGTAGTCGATATCCCATCCACGTATAATGTCATTATTGGAAGTCCAACTCTCAATCGACTCTAAGCCATCGTTTTAACATATTATATGACCTCAAAGTTCCTGACTAATTCTGGAATTGGGGAGCTCAAGAGTGATCTATGGGAATCCCATCAACATTATCTAATATCGGCTTTCAAGAAAGATATTTCTCTCTATTCAACAATTGAATTCAAGGGAACTAACACTTATTGCCACTCACCCTAAAGCTAATGGGCCTCTTGTTGAGATTCCTCTAGACTCAACCAGACCAAATGGTCATGATTGGCTTGGATTTGCTTGCTGAGAAGCGTGCCAAGCTCATTAACTATCTATGCCACATCTCCGAGGTCCTCATGTTGACGTAAAGTGACATATTTGGAATTAACCAGTCCATAATGTGGCATTAGCTTAGCATCAATACTGACCATCAACCTGTCTGATAGTAGCCTAGAAGGTTCTCCTTAGATCGATAGTTGGTGGTCGAGGAAGAAGTTAATAAACTTGTGTATGGCGATGTCTATTATCCAAAATAACTCGTCAATATAGGTTTTATCAAAATAAAATAATAAAAAATGATGTATGTGTATTGACTACATTGATCTTAACAAAGTCTGTCTAAAGAATAACTTTTGTTTGTCTCGGAAGTTAGTCGATTCTATCTTGGGCCATGAACTATCTGTAGATGCATTCTTCATTATACTCATACCTTGATAAATCGTTTAAAGGATCGATCGAAACATCATCCATTGCTTGGTGTAATGATCTTATAAATTGAAAAAAGTTGAACTGTTTTATCTTTTTATGTTGATCTCTCAACTTGACTTTTTTTGTTGGGGGTGAAGAAATCTTACTCTTTAAATCTTTTTGTCAACGATGCACTATATATTTTAATATCTAAAATATATCTTCATAATTTTATCGGTGAAACATAAAATTTTTGTGATTCCAATTTGTGATTCCAGCTTGTGATTGGTGGATCTTCTCAACTAAGGTTCAGTTTATGATTTCAGAAGGTGTTTCTCAATATGTTCATTGATATCACGATTTGAGGGCATATCATTATGTTCTATTCATCTCTACCATCATCACTGACTATCATGGGAGGAGCCACTGGATTCAGATATATAAGATCTTCGGTTTTGACTTATAAATTTTCTCAAAATCTTTAATATTATGATCTTCAAGAAATATCATATCTTTGCTTCCGATGAATTTTTGGTTTTCAAGATCTCATAATCTATAATCAAAATTTTTATGTGCATAACCGAGGAAGATACATTATTTATATTTATTATCAAGTTTTGATCTCTCATCTTTTGGAATGTGAATAAATATTTTATAATCAAATACTCTAAAATGATTATAAAAAATATCTTTTTTATGTTCATACTTTTTCTAGCATGAGCAATACGAAGAAGAAAGGTTAATGGAGTCTACTAAAATTTAGAAAGTTAAGCATGAGAGTGTATACATTTTATTCTTTTCACCAATTGTGCAATTTATTTACTTTGCAACTTCATAATATTATGATATTTTAGGAACTACTTCTTCAAACCTAATGCCACATTCCTTACAATATATTTCAAATGGCCCACTATAATCTCCACCGTTATCAGCTCTGATGCATATAAGTTAATTTTCTGTTTCTCTTTCAGCACACCTATGAAACACATTAAGCACTTGATAAGTTTGACAATTTGGATACTCGGATATCTCTCTCAAATAGTGACAAGTTTGACAATGCGAGTACCGATAGTAATATTTGCATGACTCTCTCTCACAAAGTCGTAGGTTTGAAAATGTGGGTACTAATACTAATAATTGCACAACTTTCTCTCTCTCTCTCTCTCTCTCTCTCTCTCTCTCTCGAAACTATTATAACTAGAATCATTCCTTCACTCAGAGTCTAGAATCCTGAATAACATCATAAATGATGTGAACATAGATATACTTTTGGTAGGATCATAACTTCTTTCATACAGTTCAAGCATATGAAATCTCCATCGGATTTCTTTAGTTCATTGTGTTCATTGATAGAGAATATCAATTGCATTGAATGAGCCTGTTAACTACACTGATAGAGAAAACAAGGGATAAGTTTGGCAATATGGATACTCAGATGTCTCATTCAAATAGTGACAAGTTTGACAATGGAAGTACCGGTAGTAATAATTGCATGACTCTCTCTCACAGTCATAGGTTTGAAAATATGGGTACTAGTACTAATAATTACATAACTTTTTCTCTCTCTTGAAACGATTATAACTAGAATCATTCCCTCACTCATTGAGAAAGTATAACAAGAGTCTAGCATAATAACAACATAAATGATGTGAACATAGATATACTTTTGGTGGGATCATAACTTCTTTCATACAGAACAGACATATGAAATCTCCGGATTTCTTTAGTTCATTGCGTTCACTGATAGAGAATGTCAATTACACTGATAGAGAAAACAAGAGATAAGTTTGACAATATGAATACTCCGATGTCTCTCTCAAATAGTGACAAGTTTGACAATGTCAGGTAGTAATAATTGCATGACTCTCTCTCACACAGTCATAGGTTTGAAAATGTGGATACTAGTACTAACAATTGCATAACTCGTGATGTCATGAAAACTAGACTCGGTGATATCGAAATATCACAAAATATTTAGGAAAAAGATATAATATGATCTTCAATATAAAGACTTTCATTAAAATCCTTTTATATATACTTGTATCAAAAAGACTTTCTTAGTTCCCTTCCATCATGAAAGAGGATGATGATAATACTTAACCTTGGCTGGCTTATGCATTTTGTTCATCTACGATCTGAAAGTCTGAAGCCACTATATTCTACTGTATTCGTCATTGAGTTTATTCAGGGAAGGTAGTAAGGATATCAGTTTCACATAGTTAAAATGTAGAAGACTGCTTCACGTCCCATTCATCGTGGGTCTCCACATTAATGTCGGAGTAGGCTATATATACCTAACCCTGCGTGTGTGTTTTTCCATCAACAGCTAGCGAGGGAGGTAAGAGAAGTGTTTGTGGAGTCTCGACATGGCAAACAATGTGTTCGGTGACCCCATCGACACCGAATTCGAAACCCTCGGCAATGCGAACAATGTGTTCGGCGACCCCATCACCGACGAAACCCTGGAGGGAGTCACGGAGTACGCGAAGAAGCTACGCAAACTCAGAGTCGCCATGGCTCTCGACACACAGATGAAAGGTAATAAGTATGAGAGTGCTCTCAAATACGTGCGTGAGATGAAGGAGCGATGGGGGACCGGCGTCTCCACACTCTGCCTTGTTTACAATGCTACTGGGGAGCCACTCACGCTGCACTCCACTCACGACTGGTGGGGTCACATTTACGACCAGAGCCCATACCCGATGCGGATTGGTAATGGCCAGTGGGGTGCGTACCTCCACGTCAAACGATCTGGTACACCTGATGGCTCCAATGCAGCTGTTGTGTATCGCGGCAAGAACGATGGTGGAGACGACACTGACTCGCTGCTCTTCTGGGACAACCCCTGGAATAAGGCATCTTACAGCAACCAGGTAATTAGTGTTTGGTATTGCATAGTATGTATGCATGCATGCATTTAAATGCGTATGCTTACGTTATAGATTTCATAAAACATATCATATGCATGCGCAGGCCTATGCTGAGATCAATCAAGCTGGCTACTACGATAACATCGATTGGGGAGTCATCGCTGGTAAAGGCTCCAACGCCGGCCCCCAGTATCGCGCGGCTTGGAAAGGATGTGTGTCAACCGTCGTGATCGAAAGTGGCACCACTGCCAAATTCGAAGCCACACTTACGTTCGAATAGAGATTATGCGTAAAACTTAACTAGTATGTGGGCAGTCGGTTTGTGTGTGAGACGTGGAATAAATAAATTAGGCAAAGAAGTTTGTGTGTAGAATAAAGCCTTCATCTTGAGGAAGGCGTTTAGCAATAATATTCTGTATCCTCTGTTGGTGTGTCCGTAATAAATTAAGCATTGGTCAACGAGTATTTTGTCGATTTAAGTGATCCATGGGTTTGCCGATAGCTCAAGTGATCCTCCGTGCCAGAATATTGACACCATATACTGTTAGAGCTAGCCTCAGAAGATTTACCAAAGGGTAATTTTGACAATCCAACAAAGATAATAAAACGGAAGAATAAAAACAACAAGAACACCTATTTACGTGGTTTGGTCAATTGATCTTAACCTACATCCACGAACGAAAGAGGAGCATATTACTACTATAAAAGGGACAATTATAAATGCCTTAGGAAGATGATCTTAGGCCATAAAATACTCGAAAATACTAAACAAGAAAAAACTCAATCTATAAGCCCAAACTATTTAACTGAGTGTGGACTTAAACCCAAAGCAAACACTTAGGTTTTTCTTGTGGTGCTACTTATGGTGCCTCTAATTTCGAAACCCAGACCTCTATTTATAGTTCCAATAGGAAATAACAAGCCTGATTTTCCCGATGTGGGACTATGGGACATGCCAAACTAACATATACTTATCAACATTGCCACTAACATATTATCGTATATGCTTAAAATAGCCATGACCAAAACCAAATTAGACAATCTCTAATTTGATTTCATGGAGAGTTGAATATGCTAATCTTCCTTCTAAACAGACGCTTTTTTGAGACCTAACTAACATAAGCTAAGTTTGAACAAATAGTTATCTACAAAGAAACATCAACGACGCCTCTCACCATTCCATCACAGATGGTGCGTTCTGCTTCGACGATGAAATCTACAAATTGTTCTTCCTACTCCAGCGAGAGAGCGCAAAGAAAACCCGATCTTATTCTCTTACCTTACAAGTTTCATATTTCTTACTTCTTTTCTTGCTCGAATTTTCCTCTTTGCTAGCATGTCTTTGTTGATGTGGAGTCCCATCAGAAGAGCTTCATACTCAGCTTCGTTATCGTCTACTTTGAACCCAAAGCAAAGAGAATGCTCAAATATTTTCTCGTAAGGACTTGTAGGACAAGCCCTGCACCTCCCGCTTAAGCAATTGTAGACCCGTCAATGTAGAGGACCCAAAGTTGAGAATCGATAAGTGGCTCATATGTTGTCATCATCTACATGATGAAGTCAGCCAGGGCCTAAGCTGTTATAGCGATGCGAACTCACTAAGTTCGACTTACCATTTCAGGATGCATTCAGTGGCATCGGCCTTTGACAAGATTTGTCACATGAGTTGATCCGTCATCACAATGATACGATGAGATTGGAAGTATGGTCCAAGTTTCCTTGCAAACAGGATCGGGGCGTATGTGAGTTTCTCAAAGTTTAGGAATCGAGTTTATAAGTCTTGCTGGACATGACTCAAATATACTGATCTTTGATCAAGATGGACCTTACTACCATTGATGTCGCTAAGAGGAACAATTATAGTTGCTCTCTGAGGCTAGGGCTAGACAATTGGGGTGGTGCAGCCAAGTATCCCTTGAACTGTTCAAAAGTTGTCTAGCACTATTTGATCCATTGAAAATTTTTGGTCACTTCAGGATCTTCAAAAATGATGAGCATCGATTGCTTGTTTAGAAAGGAAGCAGCTTAGAGCTATAATATGCCCGATTAACTACTGTACTTCCGTTATGAATGTCCTAAGCTTTATATTGAGGATGGCATGTGCTTTTTCTGGGCTAATATCAATTGAGGATGGCATGTACCAACCCCAAAGTCATGTGTCGCTAGACTAATTCAAATCAAAAAAATTGAGTATGACAAATGTCTTGTCCAAATCGACTAGATGAACCATAAAAAACAAAAACTTTTCGAAGCCAACCCACCAACTTGTGACTAGCATATCGTCAACATATACCTCCATGTTTTTCCTTATCTAGGGTCGAAACATCTTATTCTATTGTCCCAACGTTCTTGAATTTGAAAGGTATGACCTTGTAGTAATATAATCGTTGTTCAGTGATTAAGGAAGTATGTTCTTCGTGTCTTTGGGTGCTATCTTGATTTGATTGTAAAGAAAAAAGATTCCATGAAAGTAAGCAACTCATGGCTAAAGGTCACATCGACCAACTGATCAATTCGAGGCAAATGATAGTTATTCTTTGGATAAACTTTATTAATATCGATTTAGTCGACACGCATACATCATTTTTCAATATTATTTTTCACACGAACGATATTAGCGAAGTACATTGCTATGACAGAGGCGGCACAAGAGGGAGTATGGATGAAAAAGTTCATCACAGATCTAGGAGTCATGCCAAGCAACGAGAAGTCGATTCCCTTATATTGCGATTACAACGGAATGATTGCTCAAATAAGGGAACACAGGTATCCTCATAAGTGTTATAAGGAGGTTCCAGCTTGTTAGAGAGATCGTGGCCCGAGAAGTTGTAGCAGCGGAAAGAGTTCCATCCGAAGATAAAATCGTAGATCCACTAACAAAGCCATTGTCTCATGTTATTTTTTAACGTCAGAGGGGTCTAATGGCGAAAAGACACATAGGTGATTAGCTTTAGGTCAAGTGGGAGATTGCTAGTTATAGGTGCCCTGCAAGCCAATCACGTGTGACATGATACGCAATCTTTTTCCTTATTATATTTTGACATTTCTATCGATTTATATTGCTTGTTGCGTATATGCATATATTGTCCATGGATTTGTGCAATGGGAATCGGATCATGATGAGATCATGATACTAAGATTGAGTCACCTTTAAACACAGACCTTAAATAATCATGGTCATAGGTTACTCGAGAGGGACATCGAGATAATCGGATAGACTGATGTGTTGTATACCCGTCCATATAATGGAGGTAGTTGGTCTCATAGTTGCTCGTGTGGGGACACTAAAGATACAGTGCAGGTGCTCATTGGAGAATGAGTTCACTGATTGATCCGCTCATGGAATACTAGATGATTGATGATGCCTTACTATCAAACAGCGATTTCATAGTCCTAGTAGTGTATATGGTCCGTAGACTTGAGACACCAAGGATGTCCTATATGAGTACTCCACTCTTTGATACCAGACTTATAGGATTCGAAGTTCCAAATCTAGTACTACCGGTTAATGGGAGTGGTAGCTAACCTTATGAGGGTTATTGAGTATCAATAGAGGATCATTCGCGCTCGATATCATGAGTAGAATATCTTGTGTATTCTTGCTCAAACAAATTTTTAGCCAAGGTAATTCGGATCGAGAGAGAAAGAGTTCTCCGAGAGAATTCGATTAGAGCGAGACTTGAGGAGAAACTGTATGGGCCTGATAGCACCATGCCCGGTATATGGTCTTTGGATATTAGATGATTGAGGGATTATAGGTACATGGTAACTGAGAACAGATATGTTCAAAGGATTGGATTCTCCTATATCGTCTAGGGACTATTGCGTAGTGACTTAGTATGTCCGTAATCGATGAGTCTACTGAATTATTATAGAAATTTATTATGTAAATAATAATTTACTAAGCCAAAAGGAGTTCTGACATGTATGACTCACGGCCAGCTCGATATTTGGCCTAGAGAATCACACACGTATGATAGGTGTTACGACGAGTAGAGATTCGGATATTAGATATCCGTTAGGGCCCCTATCTTATTGGATATCCAATAAACCTCTGAATTATTGGATCCCATGGATGAGTTCCAATAACATATAATAAGAGATTATTGGGTAGAGACCCACTAATCTAAAAGGCTTGGGTAATTAGATGGAGATCTAGTACCTAATAAGGTAGGATCCATTAGGGTTAACTAGGGGCCTTTATAAATAGGAGGGAACTAAAGGACCATAGTCTGGGGCTTCTAAGTTTTCACATCCTATTCTCCTCTCCCTTTTCCTCCTCAAATAGTAGCCGTGCAGATTTGAGGAGCATCGTTGTAGCCTTGTTGTGTGGATCACCGCTAGGGAGGAGGACGATTAACCTCCTCCATCTACTCCTATAGATCTGTAGGGATTCAGGGATATACGATCTTCCTAGGTAAAACAATTATCTCACACGTGGTTTTCTGTGTCGCGGGTTTTGCGCACTAATCTTCGCACGATGATGAACACCTTTTGGAAAATTTAGGATTTTCGTTTTATGTTCTTCCGCTGCGCATGTGATGCCGCCCCTATATTTTCCTACAATACGATCTCCCTAGTTAACACATTGTTCATATATATGCAGTTTTTCTATTTCATATTTTTTGCACACCAATCTTCACACGACGATGAGAAATTATTTTCTGTGGGAAATATAATATTTTTGTTTTCTGTTCTTTCACTGTGCATATGATGTTGCCCCAGGTTTCCTAATAGCTATGGTATATAAGTGGCCATGATTTGGAAAATCCCAATCAAGAACTGAACTTGTTGACTTAGGTTGTGGAAAGTTTTTTTTGAGTATAGGTGTGTTTTGGGTTGATGAAGCTAAAGGTTGGGCATGTGGTGGGTGGACCGTTGAATCTTGGAATAATCGACGGAAGAGTAGGGATCGAGCAATTGGAAAGCTGGAGGAACGGGTCCAACCGAAAGATCGGGCTGAACCCCAAGGAGGATCGAGACTTGCGGGTTCGACAATGGTGCATTTGGTACAATCTAGCTCGGACCTCCTCCCGACCTTTTTGGCCCATTCATCTCTTCATGATTTAACCCGAATGGTCCTGCAAAATTTCCCAGAGACATCCAGGAAAGCCCTCCTTCGAGCCCCATTATGTTAGTTTATATTTGGGCTATCTGAGTTGGAGTGGAAACTAGGATCTATTTAAGGTCCTTTCCGTGTTAGTCTTAGTCCAGGGCATAGTGAAGTGTCGAACTTGCCAAAACTAAATCGATGATATTTCTGATAAAAGCCTCATCCGACGATCAAGTTAGTTCCGAGTTTGAACTATTCGAACGGCTACGATGAGAATTGTTTAGTTCTA